GAACCATCTCCAACCACAACTCCAGCTCGTGCAGGTATATAAGGTGTTCTAACAATCCATCAGTTCTGTCTGGCCCGAAGCCGTGGTGCCACCAAAATCTCTCAGCCCACCATGGGATATTCTCCCTAGAACGCGCCATCATGGGCTGTGGAGTCCATGGACACAACCCGGGATTGTAAGTGGATGTTTTGTTGGATGGCAGAATTTTGTCGCGGGTGGGCAGATCGTCATGGTTGGCGTGCGCGTTTATGAAGCCATTTCTCGTTTTGGGCAGCATGTCGTGCCAGGCCGTGACGACGAGAGTGATGATGCTGTGCTAAAATCCTATTTGTACCTAACTAGGCACTTAACTCTATTCTGTGTCCGTGTTCGGCCCCCCCTCTCTTTCTGGCGGCCATGTGGAAAAGGTGCTTCGTTTTGTGTGTGAATGGCGGACAATACGGAGTACGCAAACGGTATCTCGTTCCTCAGGTGTGGGCGGCCACTATTAGTACTCCGCATACCATTGATAGTGAAGGTTGGAGGTTAATGAAATACATCCTGATTCCTTCAGCATTGGAGATGGAGGTTTTTGCCCGCCAGGTTGATTTGCGAATTGCCACCCACGGTACTCCGTATGCATGCTGCATGCGCCTGTTATTTGGTTACCAATTTGGCCTATGCTCGAGTCGTTCCTTCCCCAGGTTAGGCTGGGTCGTGAAGGCGACGAACTCGCCCTCCGTTACGGCGTATCGAGTACAGTCTCTGACCCAGGCGCTCGCCCAATTGTGAATGATACGAAGCCAAGTGAGGTGATGCATCCATCTACGGCCATCTTGGTCTGGCAGTTTCTGCCTGCCTGCAAGAATGTGCACGATTGCACGACGGCGATTCACAGGCGCATCGGCCGATTCGACGTGTCGATAAGTGGGAAGCAGCACTGATCAGTCGAGTCTGATTCGAAGGTCTCTGCCCGACATTTCTCGAGTTCCCGCACAGTGTCAGTTGCTGAGAAATCAGAATTTTGTCAGCCAGTCAGGTAGAAGGCAGGGTCCACGGCCGTTGCTCCTGCCCTGTTTGCCCATGGCTCTTGCCCCGGCTGCCCGCCAAGATTGGACCCGCCCTGCTTGACCATTCTGGACGAGGTAGACGTTCACAGTACGAGCAACGGAGCGCCGTCTGGCAGAGCGTGGCTGCCGGTTGCCAGCTGCCAGTGCCAGCCAAGCCGGCACACAATAGAGCCTTTTCCTAGCCCCCCCCCGGCGCCGCCATTCGCTTTTTTTCCTGCGCCTTCTTTTTCGCTGCTTCCTCACAACGTCATCTCTGACGTCTTTCCTTCCCCAAACTCAGCCTGAGCCCCTTCACGATCCTCGTCTCGTTCGAGCCGCTCGCCGCAATCCCACACAACAGCACGCCGCAGTCCGCTTGCAAGCAACGGGCTCCCGACACACACCCTTTATTATTTTTTTTTTAACCCGGTGCTTGTAGGGGCGCATCTTGTTTGGGTCGGAAATCACCTGGTCGTGCCGACGCCAACGCGGTGGTGCAGAGACTTTCCCCGGCTGCCAGACGGTCTCCTTGCTAGTCTGTTGGCAACCAGCCCAGCTTCGCCTTGCGGGTGTAAATCTTCGCCCACTCCAGATAGGCGCCGTTCTGGACTCGCGACGCTGCAAAATCCCACAGCTCAGGGCTCCCGTCACAAACGCCTCTGACATCTGTTGCTGTCTCTGACCTCACTAGCCCTCTTTTTTTGTTCCTTCCATCTACCTCGCCGCTGTCCGCTCCCTACCCCACCCGTATCCAGCCATTCCCTCGCCCCCAAGATAATACATCATACATCATAGTGTCATCATGGGGACTTCTCCTGGTACCGAGTCGAAGTCCCCCAAATCCTCCAACAACAAAACATTACGGCAAGGTGAGCCACATCGAATTGTTCCATTTCAGGCTCCTGAATTTCGTCCTTTCTACACAACTACCGTTGTCACGCAATCTCACGTCTTGATGTCCGGCATTGCATTGCGTGCTTCTCCACTGTCGTCATTTTCGCCTCTGTCACAGCCCAACCCTCCTTTGCTTGAGCTTCAAACCACTGTGCAAGTTCGTTGTCCAACCACTCGTCGTCGTTCGCATCTTTGCTCACACGCGTTTCTCATTCTAGATACAGCCTCCGACTCCAAGGCCGACCCTGCCGCCGTGAAACCGGATGGTGCGTCTAATGCGGAAGCTGCTAAACCTCTCGCACCACCGCCTCGACCCGGTCAACAACCACAAGGCAATAATACCCCCGACTACTTCTCTGGCCAAGGTGGCGGATCTCTCAGCCTGGAGCCCAATCCGTTCGAGCAGTCTTTCGGGGGTGGTGGTGGCCCAGAGACTCCAGGAGGCACAAAGCTTCCTTCAGTCGCTGCCTTGACCTCGCCATCTTCACTTCTGCCTGTTAATACGCCGTTCACCTGGGGAGGAGGCTCGCTGCGCACCGGTCCATTGAGTCCCGCAATGTTGTCGGGACCGGCCAACGATTATTTCAGTGACGCGCATCACTTGCGAGGCGGATTTCCAACGCCAAACGAATCATCGTTGAGGTCAGGACTTACACCTGGAGGCAGCGGTTCCATGTTCCCGGCGCCAAGCCCCAACTCCCAAGCACTCTTCGCACAGCTTGCCAGTGGAGGCGCGACTCCAAGCACAATAGACTTTCATCGAACTGCTATGAGCGCGGCTGCCGCCAAGCGCGAGCAAGGACAGCCTCAAACACAATCGCAACAAGTGACATCACAACCAGCAGATATGCCAAACGGCGCGACGCCTACTGTTAAAGCAGAGCCGAAACAGGCATCCGGGCCTTTCGATCCTCACGACAACGATGCTGCCAACGGCCTTTTCATGCTTGCGCAAGGCGCACAAACCAGAAACGGAAACCAACCATCATCACAATTCCCTACATCTAGTGCGCCTAGTCACGCTCATCCTGCGCCAGCACCTGCTCAGACCTCCAACACATCGCCACAAATGTCGACCGGAAATGCTGCGTCAAGAGGTGGCAGCGAAGGCACCAATGGATCGGAAGAGCCGGAACAGGCCAAGCCTGCGGCCAAAGGAAAGGGTAAGAAAGCCACTGCTGCTGCATCTAACGGAAGAAGGAAAGCCGATGATACACCGGCCAAAGCTCCTCCCAATAAAAAGTCTAAGGGAAATGCTGGTGCAGTGAACGGGATGTCACCTGAGGTGTCGGACGAGGAGGACGATGATATGGGAGACGATCCCAGTTCGAAGACAAAGATGACGGATGAAGAAAAGCGTAAGAATTTTCTTGAGCGTAATCGGTAGGTTGATTCTTCCCTTGCCACATGATGTAAACTTTATGCTCATACGATGTGTTAGTGTCGCTGCCCTCAAATGTCGGCAGAGGAAAAAACAGTGGCTCGCCAATCTACAAAATAAAGTCGAAATGTACAGCAGTGAAAATGATGCGCTTACATCTCAAATCACTCAACTAAGAGAAGAAGTTGTGAACCTAAAAACTTTATTATTGGCGCATAAAGACTGTCCAGTGACCCAGCAGCAGGGCCTGCACGGTACTTTTATGTCTGGGGTTGTTGAGCCTTTTAACGCCCAGATCAACCCCTATGGAATGGCCGGCCCGATGCCTAATCAGCAAGTCATGGCTGGTCAAAGCATCCAGCGCCGATTCTCATAGAGTGAACGGGGGGACGGTTTTCGAAATAGCCGATAGACCATGTGTCGACAGGCTCATAAGGTGGAGACAGTTGATCTAGTTCTTCTTTCTTCCACACACGGGATCTTCCTGCGTGTCGTTGTGATGAGAGATAGAATGGCATGGACTGCGAGGCCTCAAGCAAGCATTCCCTACCTGCGCAGCCACGCGCTGCAAGGGTTGACTATGCAGGGCCGGAGAGGCATTTGTACAAATTTTGGTCATTGTGCAATTGGACTGTACAACAGTATGATGAAGTTCATAAGACCTGTTTGGGATATCGGGCAAGGAAAGAAAATGGCGACTTCGAATCAGGCTCATTTTATTTTACAAGCTGCGGGACATGACGTGTGGTTCCCCATGAACAGAATGGGCACGCTGTCTAGCCCCGTTACGCGCTTATTTATGTATATTCTGCGGATCACACGTACATCAAAAGGTGTTTTACAGGACGAGTTCTGGTTTTAGTGGCGGCGTTGCGGAGGAACCGGTGCTCTTGTGGACAGTACTTTTGCGGACAACGTACTTGGGGTCGATTGGCTTGTTTTAGTGTATTACACAGTAGCTGTAGGCAACATGACGCTACGTAGCGATTTGAGAGACTTGAGCTAAATCATGGAATGAATCGTCTATCCATGAACACGGCCAACTGGTCTACCGGATGGTGTTGGTAGCACTCGCACCCTGCATCACTGCGATCCACGGAGCTTGTATGCTCGCTGTATATCTATGAAATGCTTATGGCTCTGCCGTTTAGAAGTCTTGAAACGCTGCAGAGCCGCAAAACCTTGCAGTTGACCATGGAGAGACATGGGACCAAACTGCGCGTGTCGTGTCTGGTGAGACTTGCCTGTCCAATCACGGAGGCTGGTGGGCAGCCTGCATTGGTGGGGGTGCTTGGGCTGCGAACCGGCCCAAAGGGGTTTAGCGGGACTGTTGAGGTTCCCTCACCACCTTCTTGGGAGCGTAAACAACATGAGCCGAGTTCTCTCTCCCAGACGGACCATCGCCATTCCCGCGCCTGCGGCTGCTCTCTCGCGAACATCATTTCCCCCGTGCAGTTAAACGCCAAAAGCGCCAATCAAGAAGTATAAGCGACCCCAAGGGATTTTTACGGTGCTGGCTGCCGAGCCCAACGCGACGCATTTGACGCGACTGTTGCTCGGCAAAGGTCACCAACCACGCGCCACGACCCCAGCTGGGTGGCTAACCACCACCGCAACCAGCGACCGACATTGGTATTTTTACAGCCCTCATTGCTTCTTACGACATATACTCCATGATATCGCTCAATTAGCCATCCATGACGACTCTCGTGGCGACTCAACGGGCGCTAGAACATCTTAGCATGAGCAACCAGCAAGAGCGCCGACGGAGCAAGCGTCAAGTCGGTAAGTTTTTATCGCTGAAGCGGGAGCGTATGGGAAATATTGAATGATGGAAATGCTGACATTGGACATAGCCGCGGCTGACTTTGAACGGGACGATGATTTCCAGTTTGTGCGAAAGTCGAAAAGGTCCAAGACGGAAGAGTCCTCGGGGAGCAAAACGACAGGCGGGGGCCGGATAACGGCAGAGCAAGTCGTGAAAGAATCCACAAGCACAGCAAATAAGGCCATTGCTCCATCAACATCGGCGACACCGGGTACACGGAGATCCTCGCGGCGGAGGCAAGCTGACGACGCATCTCATCAAGATGAGCCTCAGACGGACAGGAGACCGACGAGGAGGAGCATTAGGGTTGCTACAGCTGGGGCGGATGATAGCGCTGAGGGCTCGATATTACGCGGCACGTCGAAGGCAACGAGCCCGAACAGAGAAAAGGCATCGAAACCGAGACGATGGGAGCCTTCGCCAACTCCACGGCGGCCAACCGAGTCCAAGATTGCGCTTCCCATGAGTGATACCCCAATTATTAATCGAAATAAAGAGATGCGCAAAAAGGGCGGGAAGGGGAATAGACGGAGCAGTTTAGGGTCCCGCGGCCGAAGAGCCAGTTCACTGATAGAGAGCGGGCAAACAGCAACACCGCATCGCGATGTGAATACGGCCGAGTTCTACAAGCATATTGAAGCAGAGGGTTTGCTCGAACCGAAAAGGATGAAGCAGTTGCTGATGTGGTGCGGCGAGCGTGCCTTGCCGAAAAAGCCGCCTCACGGGACACCGAATTCAAGCGCTATCTTAGGTGGTATGTCCTGGAGATATAGCTCAACGGGCGATAAACACACTTGCTAACTGGACATAGCCCGAGCGATTCAAGAACAAATATTAAAGGACTTTGCTCAGCGGACCGACTTTTCAAACTGGTTCAGCAGGGACGAAGATGCGCCAAAAGAAGCGCCTATCTTGAAACCAAATCCCCGGAATATTGAGCTAGATGAAAAATTGACGACGTTGGAGGCGAAAATAAAAGCGTAGGCATTAATTGACGCTTGATCAGTATGTATACATGCAATGCTGACCAACCACTAGATTACAAGACGAAAAACAAGCCTGGCTGGCAATATGCCAACCACCGCCCGACATCCCCCCGATATTCTCCTCTACGGAGGCGCCCAAAATTGAACTCCCCGACTTCAACCTCCTCGAACCCGAAGAAGTAAAAATCCGGACGTATCTCGCCGACGAAATGATTCCCTTTGCAGACATGCGCGCGAAAACAGAAGAGAGAATACGCAAAATCCAAGCCTCTCTCGAATTCGAAGTAGACCAGTTAGCAGACAATGTGCACAAGTTAGAGCAAAGGGTACTGGTGGCGGGTCGACAGGCGGATCTGGTCCTTCGTTTGAGCGCGGCACGGCTCAAGGAGCGTGAGCAGCGGGAGAAGAAGAGTGCAGGGACGAGGGATATGCCCTTGATGGAGGTGTTGAGGAGTCTGAGCAACATTCTACCCGAGGGAGGTTGATGATGCTGATGCTGCCGGATGGGACAAAGGATGCTGTTGCTGTGTAGAAAGTATCTGTGGGGGGCGATGACATGTCACTAACGAGTTTGATGATGCTATGATGCTACTTTTCTTGGTTCATATGGCTCATACCTGATTGGATGGGATGAGGAAAAAGTTGTGTGGAGGGAGGGGGGCTTTCTGACGTTCTTTGGTTAATGTGAGCGCGGAGCAATGGGTAGGCTTTGGCATTGGCGCATTGTGGTTTGCTGGGTCGGGTGAATATATCACTGGTTGGTACATTGTGCAATTGAGACTGGAGTGTACATATGTGTTTTGCGGTGCGAGATGTGTGTGTGTGTGTGTGTGGCAGTGAGAGTTGCTTTGCTCATGGTCTGTCGAGGGGTTTGCATACCTTGTATGGCGAGGCGTGTGAAACCGTCGGACTACCAGTTTGATGCTTTGCTCCAAGCAGAGTCAAGGTTGGTTGATATTGGATTCGATGCTATACAGTGGCTTCTGTGGCCGCGTCCTAAAAGTACAAGAATCCGTCCATCCATCCATCCATGACACCCCTACGCATCAGCGGTCCTCCAAGGCAGGCATAAACGCCATCCCGCCGCCCTCGCCGCCATCGACGCTCTTGCTCCTCACGTGCGCCCTCAGCATCTCGAGGACCTCGCTGCCCCTCCACCGCTCGGGCACCGGCCTATACGCGGGCCTGAAGTTGCCCACCGTCTGCGCCCACTCCCCCTTGGGCGGCTCAGACCGAATAAACGCATCCGCGTCCGCCTGGCTCGCCGCTACGGACGGGTTCGTCGACGTGTACGAGTCCGAGGGCTCGCGCTGCGTCGCCCAGTAGTATATGTCCCAGTCGTTCTCGTCGAGCAGGGCGTCGTACTGCGCCAGGAGGCCGCCCGACATGCTGGGCAGATGGGCCTTTGCAAACGTCGAGAGGAGGAGGTCTGATTCGAGGGTTCCTCTTTTACGGGACTGGTCTTGATGGGATTTCGTTAGCCTTTTTGCATTTTTGGAGTTTTGAAAACAGAGTAGTATTGGGGGTGGAAGAGCGTACAGAGGAGTCGTGCGCGTTTGGTGTCGTCGTTTTCGCCGACTCGCTTGATGGGCGCGACGCGGAATTTGATGCCTTGCAGCTCGCCGACGTCTAGTTCGCCCTGGGACGGCATGGGCTCGGCTTTGGTGGATGAGTATCGCGGCGTGGTGGTGAGAAGCCGATGGGGGAGGAGGGCTGCGCGCCGCACTGTGACGGTTGCCGGCCGGAGGGACCGGAGGGACGAGGCCATTTTTTTTTTGGTTGCGTTGTTTGATCGCTTGCTCGAAACTGACCTGATTGAAAAGTGTTGTGTGGACGGTCGGTTTGGGTGAGAGTATGTGCGTACTTGTTATGTAGAGATGGTGAGAGGCAAGAAGCCGAGAGTGAAAGCTATTGCCGAGGCGAGAAACCGATGTGGGCCTGTGGCGAGGCGGCACGGAGAGTATAGATTTCTTGCCGCTGTCAATTGCTTCTTGAAACCGTGCACCATCTGTGCCGCTCAAGTCTTAAATGCGTCTTATTTTGTGAACATGGTTTGATCAAGGCATAGATTGTTTCTCGCTACTCGAAGCCGTCACATGCGAACCTCACTTCGACTCCATGTGAATCCACGTATTATCGCCATTTAGGTCTACCGTAAATGCTGCCAACCAAATAGCCCTCCGTCTTTTAATATCGGCATTTGAATACTCCCCCCTTCTTATCCCTTGTCGTCCATCATGATGTACAAACGCCAGCATGCCGGGTTGTAAGTAGCCGCCAACTAAAACAAATAAAGACATAGGACGGCCAACCCAATGAAACTACCCAGTTGAGAGAGAAAAAACCACACCCCGTTTCGCAACTAATCTAGCCTTCGGATTTCGAAATATCGCCCTTGAAAAGTCGCTCTGACATACTGAATCGCGACAGGGGAAAAAAGGACGCAATGACGACAAGGGCATACCGAGAGTTTTCTTTGCCTGTCTTGAACTGACTCCCACGACGGAAAAGAAACGGCTTCTAGATAAGATGCTTGGAACGGAAGTAAGCCCTGAGGTACATAATCTGCCACGCCCAGAGACCAATCAAAATCCATGTAGTAGTGACGCCGAACCACTTGACACGGTTGTTGGTGCTCTCGTTGGTGTCGCGGAGCTTCTGTTCTCGCTGGCGGAGGTAGTCCATTTCTTGGACGATTTCCTCGGTCAACTCCTCGATACGGCGGAGTTCAGCCTCGACGGGCTTGAGCTTCTCGGTGGCCTGGATGGCGCTCCAGTCTTTGGCGTCGGCGCCGATGTCGATGTCGAGTTCGACATGGCGAGAGGCAGGGTTGGGTCGGCGGGCTATGTGCACCAGTCAGTTGGCATAAAACGCAGCTCGTCGACTCCAGGGACCTTGGGATAATCGCGACATACAGCCTGAAAACAAGTTCTCGAAGCAAACATCAAAAGCTGCATCGGCGTGAGACTGAAACGTCACTCTGGACTCGCCGACAACGTCTCTAGGGCGGCCATACTCGTTGCCCAATGCATCGCGAACCTGTCATTCATGCAATCAGTACCCAGACTAACCCCCCGAACTGTTTCCCAATTCATCCCTCCCAGAGGAAAATCGACGACATACGTGCATGTTGACAACCATTCCGTCGCCCTTGAACCCGTCCACCGTAGCCGTAACGACAACCAGCGTCTCCTGTCCGACAAAGTTGCGAATACACCTCTCCTTCTTGGTGCTCTCGCCGCCAGTGTGCGCAATAAGGTCAAACTTGAGTGCGTTGGCGACCCCAACAAGCACCAGCAGACTGCAGAGCCACTGCAGCGTCGAGCGTTGCACTGCCATGGTGTTTTGTGTTGCGTCGATGTGTTGACGTTGACATGCAAAAAGGGATACGAAGGGAAAGGAGGTTTATCACAGTCCGCATACACATGCAGAGCAGCCAGCACCTTTTCGACCTTGGGGAACTTGCAAGGTGTCGCGTTTACCAAAATGGTGTGGAACAGGGGCATCCAATCAGGGTTCATTCGTGAATGCTGAACCTGGACCCCCCCTTGTGCTCCTGTCTGGTGCGCAAAGTCTACAGTACTCCGTAGCTCCAGAGGCTTAGTCATGTGTGGAGCCACAGCGGTGGCCTCGTGTGTGGATGCAATGGCTGCTTCGTCGCGACGAGGCTTCCGAAAAAGCCAATGTCTTGAACTGTTGACGATTGAGCCGTCACACTGCTGCTGCGGATTGCTGGACAGGACGTCAAAATGCCGAAATGTGAGTCGCTTCCTCTACATCAACATAACGAGTATAGTGTCCATTCATGCTGACCTTCCAAATAGTCTTTTGTAAGCTTGAACCTGCGACTCCTCTAATCCCACCTGCTCACCACGAACCTCACATCATCTAGGCGACTACTGCGATGTATACCTCACCCACGACTCCATGAGCGTGCGCAAAGCTCACAATAGTGGCAAGAACCATTTGCGCAATGTGGTAGACTACTACCAACGTATGTGCCCACCACACTCGGTCCCCTTCTCATCCCATGATATCCCTCCAAGACACCATACATCTCGTCTAACAATCTGGCGACAGAAATCGGCCACGAAAAGGCACAGTCCGTCATCGACTCCATCACCTCATCCTACGCCGCCGAGGGCCAAGCACATGCGAACCCCATGCTTCCTCAAAACCAGCCGGGCAATGCTTTCCCGCCACCTTTCCCATTCCCAGGTACGGCTGTCGTCGCCGTCGACCATGACATGCAACCATACTGACCGTATAGTAGGCGGCCCTCCTCCATTTCCTGGTATGCCTGGCGCTGCTCCAGGCCAGTTCCCCCATGGAATGCCCCCTCCTGCTGGTGGCCGTGGCATCCCTCCTATGCCTCCCTTCCCCCCGGGTCCCAACGGTTTACCAGTTCCTCCACCCGGCGGCCTGCCGTTCCCTCCACCGCCTGGAGGACTTCCTTTCCCTCCCCCGGGGGCTTCGGGCGCGCCTCCTGGGTTCCCTGGTATGCCGGGCATGCCGCCTCCTCCGGGGCAAGGCTTCCCTCCTGGCTCTGCTCCGCCGCCTGGTTTCCCGGGTGGTCTTGGGACGCCTGGACAGGATAGAAGGTGAACGTTGGAGTCCAGGGGAGAAAGAAACGCACAGGGGCATAATAAATTCGCTCCAGTTTGTATTTGGGAGTCGATCGGCGTTAAAGGTTAGCTGAGAAGCAGGTCTTGACATATCAGGCACCGCAACATTTGGGCAAATCAAGTTCTGCCACACTAGACAGGATTCATTCAAGCCTTCTATATAGTTCGCAATTGTACTGTTGTAAAAAGGCACACAAAATTCTTTTCATTCCGCAACGCTTGCACGGGACAGCAAGACAACCTATTATTGCAGCACACCATCACATCTATAATACATGCTCGTAAATCTTTCCCTCTTCTGATGTCGTTACCATTTCGGAAAGCAGCAGTCACCAAAGGCAATATACGACCGTTCAAGGTAAAATAATTTGCAACAAGAAAAAAAAGGTCATAAGAAAATACGCACCGAAATCAAACTCACAACAATTCATCAGCATTCCGCAATTTCGCAATCATCATTGCACGAGCTCAATCAAACACCGGGTGCCCAATGCCCATACCAAGTAAGCTGGATATACCCTTTCCCAGAAAATTTCACCGTAATCATAAACCGTCAACGTCATGGCATTCGTAACTTGTACTTTCGTGCAAGGTGTGTGCGTCCTCTCATCGAGTTGGGGAGTCCCCGACCGCTCCCTCGATTTTTCGCCCTTTCCACACTGATCATTATTGACCGATCCTTGAATCCTTGCACCTTTTTTCGTCTATATTTGATCAGGATATCTGTTTTGTAGACCTTTAATGTTGCTGTTCCTGATGACATCGCCAACACCATCTCGAACTTCCCTCGGTCCACTAATCATCTGTCGAAGCTCCTGTGTACGCTTCTCTCGTCGCCTCTCATTCCACATTCGTGTCAGGCTTGGGAGCCCTTCGAGTCTGCTGCTCAGCGAAGAAGGGCGGCGCAACTTCCCATAACTTGGCCGGTTCCCTAAAGAATGCCCGCGCCAGAATCCTTTCCGCGAGTTACCCTCTGATACAGGCCGTTGATCATAGTAGGCATTCTGAACTTTCTTCAGCGATTCAGAACTCGCTTTGCGACGCATTACTTTTAAATTCCCACTTGGTGTTCGTTGGACTGTGCGGCGTTGAGGCCCGTGCATGTCGTCGGCCTCGTATTGTTTCTCAGCCCGGGATGGCAAGATCGCAAAAGTCTGCTTCATTTTGGTGCTCAGACTGCGCTTCGTGGGACGTGGTCGATTGTCAACCGGGGGATATCGATAAATTTCATCGTCCAACCAACTGCCGCGACGACAATCTGCACAATCACAAAGCTCCTCATTATCCCACTGCGGGCGCCAGTGAGGATGCAGCATGTCTTGTTCCATAGGTTCATCTTCTCTTTTCCCGTAAGATGGATCCATGTCGGGATTGATACTTCTGGGCCCTTGCGAGTCGAAAGACTTCCGGGGGCTTCGTGAGAGAGAAAATGTTCTCGTTAGGAAGCCGGGTTGCTTTGAAGCACTGGGAGGATAACCTATGGAGTGCCTACGTCGGCTTAGGGCTCTCAGAACAACTGACGATCTTCGACCAGGTTTCTCATTCTCTGGTTCATAAAAACCTGCAATTGGCTCTGCCTTTTCGTTAGCAGGTGTTAGACCAGATGGCGTGGCGGGAATAAAGTTGATCGCTGGTGGGAGTACAGGCGGATCCGGCGGTGCACGAGGGTTTCGAAGAGGAGAATCAACTTCTTCCGATGACTGTCGTTGTTCAGGCGTCACTAGGCCGCCTTCGGGGCTGGTAGCTGTGATTTTCGGAGGCTCGTTTGACTCGACCGTCTTGAGACCCTTCTCCGTAGAGTCAGATGCATCTGAGTGCTTGGCAGAATGATTCACCATCAAAACTGATGAGTTCTGGTGGGGATACATATGAACAGCCTGCGCTTCAGATACTTCGAGGGCCGTCCAATTGGTTTCTACTGATACTATGGAGAATGGCGTCGTGCGAGATGAGTACTTCCTTGCTGACGCTGCATCATCGTGATGATCTGTGCCAAGGTGTTCGGCTGCAAATCCACCCCCTTCAGATCTAGGAGTCTGCGGAGAGTGCACTGTCACGACGGGTGATGTCGGTACTGGTGGCACTGGCAGTGTCGGTATGGCTCGTACCGTGGCAGAAGACGTTGGCGGTTCCATAGGCATAGCTTGAGACGGCAATGTCTTGGTAATTTGGCGATGTACATCATTCAAAGCCTTAAGACTTTCGGCAGTCAGAGAGCCAGCCCGGGAGGTAGTGCGGCTTGTCGGGGCTGACAGTGACGACGAGCGGGCCGGGATAGTGGGTGGAAAATCAATGGTTCTCTGCTCCGACCGTTCTGACAAAGACGTAGATCGGTCCCACCGCGATTGTCTCTCGAAAGACAGTTTTTCACTTGCAAGCGGCGACCGATCAAGAGGAGAGGACTCGACGCTTCGAGTCCTGGAATGTCGGCTTGATGTGGACCGCAAAGAAGGTTCTCTTGACTTTGACTTGTTTGATGACCTTCGATCGGGAATGACCACTACAGGTATGCCGCCATTCTTCCATATTTCACGTCTTGCTCGTCCACTAGGTAATGGTTTTGTGGTAGCTGTGGAAGTGTAGCTGTCATGTCGCCGGGAAGGCTCATTTCGCGACGTAGATGAAAATGGCCATGTATGATCCTGCAATTCAAACACGTCTGCAACGGCCCGTCGACCACAAGGGCTTGTCTCTCTGAGTTCTCTTCGCTTGCGAACATGCCGTAAAGTCTTCTGTCTTTGAGGCGGGGTTTGGCTATCCACCAGTATAGCTCCAATCACGGTGGAAGGTGAAGACTGATAAGAGAGACCGGACGATCTTCGCGGCTCGATATTTGCCTTCAGTTCCTTTTGTGCTGTGTTCAATTCTGCGCGCTTTTTCTGAGGGATTGTTTTGGGCGATGGCTTGACTATGGCGGTATTTTGAAAAGACATGCCTCGGACAGCCTCTGTCGCATTTGTAGGGGTGATTATATTATCTTCTATCGCCGCGCTCTTCTTCGAGGTCGCCCGAGTGGTCCTTGGCTGAACAGGCTGGGGACGGCGTCTGCCCACAGATACCATTCTTTCGAGATTGTTATCCCATTCTTGCTCTACCCGATTTGGGGGGTTCCATTCGCCATCGAACTGAGCCAGTTCGCCGTGAGTCGGGGGATTGTAGCCCTCGGCAGGTTTCACACTTAGGCGTTCGAGTGCAAGGTCCAAAGCCTGAGGCTTGACGGTATGACTACTGGCATTTACGGGTATTCGAGAAACTGTAGTTTGCGATGGCGTTGACAAAGTCACAATGGTCTTTACAGCTGACATGGCGGCTTCGTCCTCAGACGAAAGCGGTTCTTCTCGGGCAGTCTTGAACGATTCGGTGCGCGAATCCGTTGTGATGGTTGCAGTTCGAGAACGATCAAAAGTTGCGGCACGTAAAGCGCGTGGTCGGCTGGCAGGCTGAGGCGGCGTCACATCAGGCGTCGGAGGACTACGTTGATCTGGTGGCGTTGCTGGTGGTCGTTTTGACGAGGCTTGGGGTGTTCGAACAACGGTGTCGAGAGGTGAAGGACTAGATGGTTGGGCTGGATAACTTCCCGACGAGGCGCGAGAGTAGTTTGGGGGTGTAGGGGGTAAATCAGGGCCAGTCCCGATTCTCCGCGGTTGATGCTTCAAAGTTCGTGGACTGGAGGCTTGAGAGTCTGGGGGGCCAGGAAGAGCTGATGTGTCGATGTGTAGGTCGTAGGCCGCGGGCACTGATGGAGAATCGTCAACAGCTCGGTCATTGCGTGGGCGAGGCAGAACCTTGCGCTTTTTGAACTGCCGCTGAGCATTTGAGCCCGCCTCGAAGAGGCCTTGGTCATAATCAGGTAGTGTCGGTGCCGTCATTGCGGGCGATGAAATGACGGCACTCGGCTTAAGCATGCTCGACGAGTGAGGGGAGGAGACGCAGGGACAGAGAGATTTAAATAATATTCTCTTGTGGTGACTGTCTTGAAACAAGGGATTCTGTGCATACTGAAGGTTCTGGCGACAGGTGGCTCAACATGAAGCAAACTGGGTAGCTGCCGCCGCGCGAGGGTGACCTTGGATGGGCGATGGATGTCCGGCTGGTCTAAAGCGCGTCGAAGGCAGCAGCAAAGACTAGACAAGAGGTAATATTAAAGGGGCTCCCGGGGCATTGCATGGAAGCAAGTAAGTAGGGATGTAGTATGCGATAATGATGGTGGATAGGGGCGAGACAGGTTTGGGATGCGGATATGGGTGCAGTGTGACTCGGCGGGTCCTGAGGTCCCAGGTGAGAGGTGAGAGATGAGAGACGGGAGATGGGAGTGAGAAAAAAGACTCGAGCAGCCAGTGAGGGGCGGTGATTCCAACAATGATGCTTGCAAGCCTGCCGTGCGCCGAGGTGGGACGGGGGTTACGACAGCCAGATGGGATACGAAGAAGAACGAGCCAAATGCCCCAGCGAGGCGGCGCAGCACAATGGTCGCGGCGATAGCCGGCGTGCCAATGCAGATTGGAGGCAGATATTTATTTGCCCGGCAATGTGCTGGTTGATATGTCATGTGTGTACGGAGTAGTCACAGTTTCATGGTCACCCTCACTTTGCGCGGGTGGGCGGCCTGGCGAAGGAAGGAAGCAAGCAGGGAGGGAGGAAACGGTGCTTGCCAACTAGCCCATGGCTTCGTCCGCTGCACGTCATTGGATGCCGTTAGCAGAGGGGTATGCCAGCCAAAGGAAGGAGGAAGAGGGTCGCAAGGGAAGGAACATCGACTCAAACGACCAGACGGCGCGGGTCCCGCTTCCCTGCCCGTAGTGCCCGTTGGAGTGCCTGTCCTGAAGCCTCCAGGACGTGAATTGCTCGGCGGGCTTACTCTTTTTGCTAGGTGCGCTCACGTGTTACCTAGTGCTTAGTTATTAAAATATATATAATATTTTTTTTTAATTATTTAATAACTTATAAAAACTTATTTACTTAAAAATATTTTATAATAAAAAAGGCCTTATAAGCTATTTAATAAGTAAAAAAAATAGTAATAAGTACATACACCTAGCAGAAAGAGTAAGCTCGCCGAGCAATTCACTCCAGGACGTCTGGTCTGAAAATGACGAATAGGCTTTTCCTCCAGTCCAGTTCCACTCCAGAGCCACCTCCACCCGTCTGTCATGACATTGTTTCACACCCGCCAGTTCCACCCGCCACCTCCACCCCTCGCTTTCAATGCCAAATGCTTACCCACAAACTGGTTGTACGGCCATCCAGAGGCCAAGGCTAGATTCTGACGCCACCAGGGCCGCGCGGGACGGCGCGGAAGACTACGCGGTTTGCAGGCGAATTTCATTTGACTGATTAGCGAGTAGACCAGCCGACGGCGCCACAGCTGGTCTGGTAGGTGCGGAGCTAGCACATCTGGTACAGCGCACTTGACCGGCCCCTGTGAGCTTTTACTGACCTTTACCAGACCCTTGCCTGGACACCCTTCAGCCGGAGTCCCGGAAACGTGGAACCGTGGAGGGACAAGGCTTGCGCAACTTCAAAGCCAGGGAGAGGCGAACCAGGTGGCTGGAGCGTCCCAAGAACAAATACAGATCACTCCGTATTACCGAGTACAACGGATTGCCCGTTGTTCTGCGTCTCGATGCCTCTCGCGGACGACACTTTCAACTGTTTCCCACCCCATTCTGGCATTCTTTGCATATGGACACCACCAGCCAAGCATCCTCCACCATCCTCCACCATCAACCATCACGATCCAACCCAGACTTTAGCTAAAAGAGAGCAGCGACAGCCGAGAAAATATGGACGCGTGGGGCCTTCTATCCCTTATTACCGTCGCTGAGCAACTTTTCAACATTGAAACTCCAAATGTCCTATCGGCGACATGGACTAGCGGCAGACAGCCCCCGAGGATGCCGTGTCATATTAATATGTCACTACGCTGAGCGACATTGTCAACAGCCTGCGTTCTGGTTTCCTGTTCTGCCCTCGCATTGGTAACTTAATACACTACCGACTATTCGTACTCGGTACTAAACTACATATGGAATGCCCAACTCGCCAACCACCCACATTCTGTTCAATACGAGTGAATTCCTCCACCATTCTACCACTCTGCATCCAACCCTTGCACTTTGATGCAGTCCGGTCACGTTACTAGGTTGGCACGAGGCTCTCCGCAGCACCCAACCTCCATCAGCAGCAACGTATCAAATGTTTTAAAGTCGACCTACCGAGTAGGTTTCGTGGCACTCCTGTGAGTCCTGCCTGCTGGGACATGTCGCTGCACTTTGTCCGTCTTCACACCGGCGCCGATAACGCTGTCAAGCCTCCGTGCTGTTGCGCTCCGCGCTTGATCATGTGATGCGCTGATGCAATCCAACCCTGCTTTGCTTTGCCGTTCTTGGAACCTATTGTACATATAAGACGCCTGGCCTGAATGACATTGTTCTATTCCACGTCCTAAGCGCCCCTTCCTTCTCGTGTGAATCTTTGGACTTGAAAACCTCAGTATACTAGGCTGGCATCAAGTGAGTTCAAAAGAACAGTTGCATTATCCGAAAACAAATAAAGTAAACTTTTATTGCCACGTACGGAGCATACACAATGCAATCCACTACCGATGCATCTAGGTAGAATGTACGATATACCAGCAACAGCTTTGAGATGATTTAGTACATTTCGCTCTTCACCATGTCGAAAGGCCTATTAAATTGGGCCTTTATTATGCCCTGGGAGTCATGGCTAAGGGGAGGCCGATTTGCAAACCGTACCTGAGGTACTCTGTATGGGAGCGGCATCTTGCATGGCACTATCTCTACCTTTGGCAAATGGGCGACAGCTTTGGACAAGTAATGCTTCTTTGGAATCATGATGCTAATATTGATAGAAGAGGGCGGGTGTAATTTGTTCGCGCATAAATTACCTGTCTTTGAGTAATAATCACCAACATCTTCGATCTTCAAATGTCAGCCAATGGTCTTTGCTTAACCTGGTTTGCACCTCCGTTTGCGTTTGCACTGGTTGTGGTCAATGAGACACATGCTACGTCTCACTTTCACGTCACTTTCACGTCACTTTCATGTCACTTTCATGCCACTTTCTACTTAGTTTTCTCTCGCCCGTTTCACCTAGCTCCGACAATATAAACAGCATGGACCGCATTCTCCCTAAGCCACTTACTTAAAGATCCTCAGCAGCAACAAAATTTTAGAGCCCAGAGAGTATTTTTTCGGTCCTCATCGCATGACAACGACACTCTTCCGATGGACTCGTGCTCTAGAATCACCACAAGTGGTGCGAGTCATCGCATGAACAGACCAAATTGTCCCTGCGAAGACTGCCAAATCCAGTTCGAATATGAGACCCAGACTCTTACGCCAGTGTCGGAGTTCACCCGCACGCTCAATGACGACGAAGTTCGCTCTCTGCTGTCCGGTTTCATCAACGACGCCATTATTGCCAGAGCCTCCTTAAAGAATACGCTGGAGAATCATGGGGACACTATCATATCGCGGTGGAAGAAGATGAGCCAAGTCAAGCGCCGGGCAGTTCTCGAACAAATCCAGCCCCCCATTGCAAACGAGACAGCAGTGGACATGCAATGCCTGTATAATTCGTCCGTCACTCACTTGGGCAACAGAGATAGCGTCATGCGGAAGCAGTTTTTATTGCCGTGGTTAAGTATTAACCGGCTTACGTCCAGCGTATCCGCATTGTTTGCCTTGCTACACGTTCGAACCGAGTACCATCCGCACGAGTGGGCATCTTTTGACACGGATCAGCTAAGTCAGCCCTGGAAACATGAATACCTCAAACTCGAAAACTCAGACAAATCTATATCCATGGAGGAAGCATGTTATGGGTCAATTGTGCAGCGTGACCATGATGCCGTCTCCCGCAACATTCTCGACTTTCCTCAAGCATCTTCGGTCCTGGAGGCGCAGGCACATTTGATGAGTTTACTTTGCAAAATTGTTGGCGGCATACTCCATGGCGCCGATACTTCAATTATCCATGGTTGCAGTAGATGGAATTCCCAGATCGCTTCTGGATGCAAACATGTTGGGAAGGTTGAAAATTGGTCAACCTATATTAACCAACCATTTTCAAAGCCAGTAGGCGAAGGTCTAGATTACATCATTTCTTTGGTGAGATCTCGAAGAGAGGAGGCTGAAGACCACTTTTACAGCCTCCAGACGAAGCCGGCATATTTTCGACAGCACATCAAAAATACTTGCAACAATATGGGCTCCCAAACGATCGCAGATGCCGAAGCTAGGCTGGGTGATGTCTTGTTTTCTGAATGTCAGATTTTTTTCCGCCTTCAAGAGTGCGAGCAAAAATGCATCGAGTTAAAGAATCTCCTTGATAATGAAGAGCTTCTTCCAGAGGATGGGGACCGTCTACGCAAAGCTCAGTTGCGAGCACTCGTCCGCTTGGAGACGGATATTTGGGATATGGCTTGCTACCATGCTTCAATTCTCCACCTCTACATGACAAGATCTGCGGAATTCAAGCACCTTTTTCATGACAAAAAAGTTCTTTCATTCCCACAGTGTTTGCAAATATATGCAGCCAGATGCCGTATAAGTCGGATATATCAGAGAGATCCGTTGGCATGCTACCTTGTCCACCTTGGGAGACTGGAGGTTAAACAGTGCCGGCAATTTGGGGCTGCAGATCTTGTTGCAGCCTTGGAACGCCATCTTCAAAGCAATCCTGGGGAGCTGAAAAGAGTGAGTGTTGATATGATGCGTAGCATCAGCACCATAGCCGCCGTAAGCGAAGCTAGACATCACTTGAGACTGTTTAGGCACAGCTCGTCTTGGAGTTGGATGACGGAAAGGTACAAAGACGAAATGAAAGCCCATCGGCAATGCACGGCCTGCGTGGAATGCGGACGGGGGAACATAAAAGAACAACCGAAACTAAAACGAGAACGAAGGCCACTAGGATTTGAAGAGGCCGGACAGCTACTGTTGCGTGACTTTTACAATAGGCCAGCGCCAAGTGGCCCGAAGAACATGGCTCGACTCCAGGAATCTAGGTATCAACGACACAGTATAGAATTGTTTTGGGAAAACATCCGTAACGGACTGAGACGCGGTAGCGAGGAACGGGCTATGCGGCACGAGACAATCCGCAGAACTATCGCTGCCCTGTCAGTGCATCTCACTGCTGAGTACGCAGAGGTCATACAAATCGAAGAGGCGTCCTTCACAGAAACAGCCGAGACAAAGCCCGAACCAAGCCCTTTCGTGCATTTTGGCAGTTCCAGCTCCAACAGTTGCAAACCAGTCATTGAAGTGGCGACTGCTTCGGACAAAATCAAGACCAGGAGCACTGAACGAGCTGGGTCGGAATCTGCCACGGAAGATAACAGCATCACAGAGAAGCCGATTGTCAAAAAGAGAGCAGTTCCAAAACATTATCTTGAGATATTCCATCTTATGTTCCCCATGTCATCTGAAGAAAGATGTAGAACGATCAAGTGGGATGAGTTCGTGCATTCCATGAACCACGCCGGCTTTATAGTAAGCAGCTGCGGCGGTTCGGCAGTCCGGTTCGAATTGCATGACTCACCAGACGACCAAGGCACCACGATCAGCAAAACCATTATATTCCACCGCCCTCACCCAGTTCCAAAGATTGATCCTATTATGCTACGTTCCGAGATTGGCCGCCGGTTGACCCGGCGATTTGGGTGGACGAGAGAGCATTTTGTCCTGGCTGGTGTAGACCAAACTCCAGGAGGGACGACAAAAACTACGGGAGAAGAGATTTAGCCAGGATTGGGCCGCTGTAGGCCGCAATTTGTGTTCAATGCGTTGCTTTGAAGCACATAATGGGGATGCTTGCAATGTGCTACATGGTATAGGTGATGCCTCTTCCAAGCAGAGAGGAAAACCTTCGATGAAACATACATATTCGTTAACGGAACAGGGGTGGACGAGAATCAGCTGTTGACAAAGACAGGAAGTGCAGAGATGGCGAATACAGTGCCTGGATAGTTTCACGTTCACCGAGGGTTATGGATGCAACGTACTTTACACAATGGATGGCTGTGAGAGTAACCTAGGAAAAAATCAAAAAGGCTCAAGGCAACACATGGCTCTCCCGTCGCAAGGATATGCGCCCAGTCTCGTAAACCTTTAAGAATCATCGTCGGGAATCTCCATGCTCGCACCGCAGCTCTTGCACAACCACTAGACTGCCACCCCATATTGCGTTCCGAATGGAACAAGAATAGACTCAAAGGGCATGGACATACGGTACAACCTTGTGCGAGGAGCGGTCGATGGTTCGAGTGCTCCCCCCCTCTCTCTACGATGCCCCTTCTCTCTACAATAGGTCAAGGTTAGCAAACTCGAGAAGGAAAAATGAACAACGTAACAAATTGTGAATATTTGGGGTGCGCATCGTGGTGTTTGTCAGAAGGTCAGAAACTTGCATCTTACAAGTAGGTTGGAGGAGACCGACCAGCACCCATGGATTAAGAAAGCGAATTCGTTCGAGGCAGGCGGTACCAAGCAAGTTCACCAGGGCTCATGTATGGAAACTGTGTCTAAGAGCGGTTACACAAGACGTTATCGTTGGTAGAGTTGTCGTGTATGTTGCGGTGGAACAAGCGGACGGGTTGCTACATGGATCGCGGCCCATGGATTTGTCTCGCTGAGGAGTGACGACGGGTTGGTTTCATTTGATGGCGACTTCATATATTTTACTTGAGGACAGGTTGTTATTATGGAAACGGGAGTGTGTGATGTAAAGGTGCATTTGATTACCGTGCTGTTTTACGGCGGTTAAGGCGTTGGCTGCCGCGAATGGCGCGGTCTCGACACGGGCCATTGCGAATTGTCGAAGGAGGCATATGAATCAGAGCGGGCTCAACAGAAGCAGCGATGGGAATGAAAAGCTGGCCCGGGAGGGCACGTCTCTCGGCGGCCGTGGCTGCAGAAGATGTAACATGTATATTGGTGACCATGCGGTGCTGCACCCTCTGAGCAGACGCAGGTGAAGTACAACAGTCTCTTGGAGGTTGGCTTTGGCCACTCCGAAGGTCATATCGGGTCGTTAACATGTGGTGAAAAAGCTGAGCAGCGATGTCCTGTTACAGTTTGCGAGTGTTGGAATACCTGTTGCAGACGCTTGGGCGTGACTTGACATGTCCTCGAACCCACGAGCGCCGGATACGCCGAGAGATGAAAATAGCCCTGTCGACCAGATTACTACATATCTTTGAGAAAGGGACGATCATGAGAAGCAGAGGTTCACAAGCCACCGGATGTGCACGGAGACCTGGGTAGTAGAAAGTTGAAACCGCACCGGAGAATGTGGGCTGGAGGGAGGACAGCAAGGGTCCCTGCGTCTCGTATAAGTATCAAGGACAGCTTTTCGTGAAGGCAAGAAAAGAGAAAGGCACGAGTGACAGTGTGGTGGCCAACATGTGCACCGGGTGGTGAGTGGCATCAGCATTTGCTCTCGCTGGTAATGTCAGTTCCGCAGGGGTAGAAAACAGCGAGATCATCGGAGCATGGGAGGAGCCAAGGAATGGTAGCAATGTCACGGCAAATATTTGCATCCACAAAGAAGAGGCGGTAGGGCGCAAAAGGAAAAAAAGATAAACACCATAAACTCCAGGTGGCATTCCTTCGTACTCAGGTGCAGTCTCATCAGGAGGACAAAAGTGACCCTATGACGGCATGAAGGCATGGTCATGCTCTCGAGCTAGTACCAGTGGAAGGAGCACTGGGCCGGCGCACTTGGCACCATGAACTAGCGGGAAGGTGCCACCAACCTGTGGTTGCATTCTGCCAACACTGAGGCGGACCAAACGGGTTTAACGTCTCTGGCGCCAACCCAGACCGACTTCCTACATCTTCCATCCATCCATCTGTCTTGATAATTGGACTGACCTCTGCATCTTTAAGACATTGCCACAGGGGCCATACTGAGGCTCTAGCATTGGTCGATGCCATTTCGCCGAATACTCGACCGTCACTCTCCAAAAACAGAATTTGATTCTCGTATCTGCGCAGACTGATCCTAGCGGATGGAACGTGCCCTCAAAGTCGGCCAGACACAGCTCACCTGTCAAGCCCATCGTCCGTGTCTTTGCAGCCCGACCAGGCAAATACTGTGGCTATTTCACGGTGGTAATAAATCGTTAGTCCATTAACAATTCAGTTGTAGGATGCCGCCCTAGTTTCTCGATACCCAACGTGGTCTTTTTTACGGGTTTTGTCCCCGGCACCTTCCAAGTCCAGACTCCAGACGGGCCTTTCGACTGCGGTACGCTGAGACTGGCCGAGATGATGACCTTGCCGACTTCCCTTGACATTGAGACAACAGCAGCCTTGCTGGGTGTGACCTCACCGGCCCCGGCACTTTCTGTGCTTCGAAGTTTGCTAGTTTGCGCTTGAGACTAATTCATGCAGGTGACCCGGTGCCACATCACCATCACCATACTCCGTAGTTGGCACGTAGCGCCGTGTGTACGACAACAGATCTGGTCATGTCCTAGTTTGCTATAAGAGGTTCGAACCGCCATCGCATGACTCTCAAACCTCTATCCTCAACTTTGTCATTCGCTTCCGACTCACAACACCCTGTGGCGGCTCTGTTCGGATTTCCTTCTCTTAAAGCTTGAGTAAAGTAATAACTCAAGAGACGGCCCGTTCACTTACTGGCACATCACTCTCTTTGTCGCCCCGCCTCATATCGCCCATCATGAAGACTGCCGTTGCTGCACTCGCTGCTGCTGCTGCAGTTGTTTCTGCTATTCCTAACGGAGGCATTCCTATTGATGCCAAGATCGCCTGTGAGAAACCCAACGTCAACTTCTGTTTGGATGACACGACCCTCGTGGTATGCGACGCCAACAAGGTTGGCACTCGCACTTTCTGTCGTGAGAGTCTTATTCCATCTCCTCCTGCAAGTGGAATTGGCTTGTGCTGGCAGAGTTCGAAAGACGCCGACGATGCGGTTTGCCAAAAGGCCGTAAGTCTTGCCAAATATGCATGGGGATAAGGTTATGCGTTGACATTTTGATCTATTGACCAGTGCGTCGTCTATCATCCAACTCAATACACCATTCCCGCCGCCCTATGTAACCCTACGTACATCCCGACGGAGGTTCCCAGATCCCCTACCTTTGGGACTCCTACTCACACCGCCAGCATTTCCGTGGGAACCTCGACAACATCAGGTCCTGTTTCATCCAGCACTTCCACATCAGGAGTCATGAGCATCCCGGAGGGCACCAGCCTGGGAACTGCCACTGTCCCCCATACCACTCACAGTGAGCCGACCAACCCGACAGTGCCGACACGTACCTCGACTGGTACTTGGTCGCCTACCGGATCCGATGATTGCCCTGCTCCTACAGGCACTGCTACTCCCACTGGAAGGCCCAGCAGCAACACGACGTCTCATACCACTTCCGACACGGCTATCCCGACTGCTGGTGCCAGCACCAACCATGTCATCGGAGCCCTCGCAGCCGCCGCCCTTTTCGCTGCTTTCTTGTTCTAAACTAGTATCCACGTTGCTCGAGGCATTTGTGCGCCTGTTGATGGAAAACTGGATGCCCAAACTCCTGGAGAGGCCAACATGAAATATGAATAATGAGTTTAGTCAAAGCAAGGATTTGTTTCACAAATGGAAGCTTTATACGAGCAATGCAGCAGTAGCGGAGGCGAATGACACGGAAATGATGCAAGAACAATACCCCAAATTTACAGTGGCCAACCTTCAAGTTTAGCAACAAGTAGCACCAGGCTTCACGCCAGTATATACAAACAATAAACACCATCCTTAATGCTCAAAGACGTTTGGTAATTTCCCAGACTCCAAGATGAACCATGTACATCCAGACCATGTAATTCCTTCCATGTGTCGTTACTCTTTACTCGGCCACATATTCTTATTAAACACCCACAACGATGGCGCCTCTCCAGCCCCCTGATACAAATAACTCAAGTACAGGGCATACCGGAACATGGCCGCCCTCAAGCTCTCCTCGGTAACGTCGTCCCTCTGCAGATCTTGCACCACTTTGTCAACCGTCAGCCCCCGAGACTCGGAGCCCACATCATCCTCACTTATACCGATTCCGCTATCCGAATCCCATTCTCCAGAGGTCCTGCCCGTCTTTTCAGCAAACGGCCGCCATTGTCTACAGCGAAACGCAACATAGGCAGCGAGCAGGAAGCTCTGCGGAATAGGTATATCCGTGGGCACGCAGCAGCTCGGGGACCAAATAGAAGTCACCCGGCGGCGCCGTGCCCGGCGAGCGCCCGACTCGAGCTTCAGAAGCGCGGCACCGGGGTCGATGAAGGACGGGACAGACGGGAACGACTGCGGGGCGAGTACGGCGTTGAAGCGGCGGGATGTGAGGCGCGCCGAGGGCCAGGAGGACGGAGGCAGGTGGGAGAGGATCTCGCGGAGTATCTCAGAGGGCAGGAGGTCCATTCTTTGGATTGTGGCGGCTGGGGGGTTGGGATGTCGCACTTGGCGACGCCGTGATGGCGTGTAAGTGGATGGTGTTTTGGGCGGATATGATGCACCTGCCGCCTGGATTTTGAAGACGCCCAAAAAAAAGGGGGAAGAGAGAGACGTACAGGATTGAAGTGAAGAGAAGGGATTTCGATATTGGCAGGCAGACGGGGCGATGAAGGGTCTGGATGTAGACGTTATGGTCCCGAGGTTGCCAACCGTCAAGGTTCACGACTTGCGAGCCTGGCTGGATGGGCCATGCCAGCATCGGAGCTTCCCTCCTGCTCCGCCAATAGGTACACGGCAAACAATGTAGTGCTTGTGAGTGATATTTTGGCATGACCACGCCTCTTCTGCCACATGGTCTTTTGTTTGTAGGACGAGTGTGCGCCTCGGCATGCATGGCCTTTGGAAGGCGAGGAAAATGGCCCAATGGATGTCAATGTGGCTGCGTGGATCGGTCTGATTTGCGGAAGAGGGCGCTTCGGGTCGCTATTAATACATGGTGGAATAAGCATCGGATGACTGGGATTGAAGGGCTTGCCCGTTGAGTATCCATCTTTATGGTGAAGATGAATGTGTGGCGATACATGTGTTGGGGAGAGCTATGATGGTCATGGACTCATGGAGACGAGCATGAGGCGATGGGCGGGCTCTTGGCGGCCAGTGTGCACTGTGCACTGTGGAATCTTGGACGTTGGTGTGCGAGAGTGGCTGTTGCGTTGTCGCTGTCTGATGGTGGCTACAACTTGAGGTGAATATTAGAAACCTTACGTAGCTGATGGCCTATAAGTGCGTTCCATGTTCACAATGCTTTTTTTCTTTCTTTTCGGTGTTGCTGAAGTCGCTTGCATGGCGTATTTGTGGTTGTCTAAAAGTAGATGCCGCTCGGGAATACGCATGATCCAGTTGCATCGAGGGTGGGTTGACAAGGATTAGCCACCGGGGCATGCAAAAGTCGCGACAGTTGATACTTTTTTTTTGTATATTACATCAATGGGGTAGTTTTAGCATGGTTCGTGTGTTCTAGTTTCACCATATATAATCTAGTTGCGCGGAGGAGGCATGCAATTCGAGATCGGGGGTTTATTTCAGAGGGATGTAACTAACATGACAACACACACTGGTAAATATATAATAATGTGGGCAACAATTAAACCGCTACATGACGGATATGGCATCACCTATTAGTAAATCCTAAACCATTGCTCTTAAAACCATACTTTTTATTGGTACACTGTCTCCTTCTCATCACCAAACATTACATCTTTCTCCCCATCCGCAACCCATGTCATGATTCAGTCTCGTCCCTCCACCACTTCTGCATCAACACAATCCTCTCTGTCCTCTCCCTGGCCAGCCTCCTCCCCTCATCCGTCTTCATCATGCCCTCCAGCCGCACCAGCTTCTCCTCGAAATGCTCAATCGTGTTGCCCATATCCCTGTTCTTGGCGCCGCCAAACGCAAACGCTCTGCCTATTCCCACGGCCCCAATGGCATCCAACCGGTCCGCATCCTGGACAACCGCCAACTCGGGATGCTCCTCTATCAGCTTCACCACCCTGCTCGGGTCCTTTACTTCGCTCGAGTAACTGACCCCCAGACAGATTGCTTGTACTTTTTCGGCGAGGCTCTCCGAAGCACCAAAGGAGCGGAGCACGTCCAAGACGAGACGGGACGAGTCCTCGCCTGGCTTGAGGTACTTCTTGTCGCCGACGTCGTGGAGCAGTGCCGAGAGTGTGACAATGCCGAGAGAGGTGCCGGGGAGTGTGGCTTGGATGTGTTTGGCGAGGCGTAGGACGCGCTGGATGTGGTTGAAGTCGTGGGACGGGTCGTAGTTTGCCATGTAGGATTCCACGTAGTTGGTTACTTTGGCGACGAGGCCGTCGTCGACGGTGAATTCTGACGCCATTTTGGGGCTTTGTGTGGTTTTGTCTGTGTTCAAAATGTTGGGTTGCGATTTGACCGCCTGCGGAGCAGAATGCGGTTGGGAGACGGGGAGAAGCTGGTTGACGCCGATTGCACTTTCCAAAATAAGCTACGGTATACGTGTCCTGGCCAATCCGGCGATCGAATTTCTAAGCATGGTTTCCGAGTCGCGTAAATGATCAGGAGGTGGTTGCGGTTGCTGCTTTTGGTGACGGGGTCGCATCGCGGGGTCAAACGAAGGGTCGATTCGACGCGACGCGTTTTCACGTGGTTAGACCAGCATCATCACGATTTATTTTGTAAGTGTTTCTTTGCATTTCTTTGCATGTTAGACTTGCTTTCTGTGGAACAGCGCCAACGTTCATCCACACAGTAGTATCTCTAGCTTGCCTCTGTTCTATCACTGGCATACACCGACATTTAACTCAACCGCCGACCGGTAGCTGCTTCTCCATCCCGGCCCAATCAGCAATGAGAGGCTCTCTGCAATGCTGGCAGCTGGTTCCTGGGGATGGCGTCTCAACTCATTGTAGTAGAACAGTCGACCAGGCGCGTCTCCTACCGGCTTCCTAACCAGAGTGGGCGGATATCTCTACACAGTTTCTCTTATTGAGGCTTGCTGAAATAGTGCTCAATGACTCGACTGCGATCGATTCGCCACCCCATATTCGTAAAAATAGAAATGCTAATAATTTGACTGCAGGTGCGAGAACATTGCAGGAAGAGTAGCAAGTAGAAAATTTTCGCACACCCAAGGACATCAAATGCTGCTGCATCTTGTTGGTTGACAACACGTAAGCAAGGCTGTTAAAGTTACACAACTTGTGCATGCAACCATGGCGATGTTTCTTGCGTGTTTGTCAGATAATGGTGGGGTGGCTGAAATGTTGGGCAGCAATGCTTCTCGTCCTTAGGAACATATTTGTCTCGCAGTTTGGAGAAAAAGGGGTATATCACTTCAGCAACGCTCCCGTCTACCACACAGTACAGTATCATCATCTACTGCGGTCTACTATAGTATATCGCAATCACAACAACATAACACGATATATCGGTGTTGCTCTTGGGACCAGGTTACTCTGGCTTATAATGCCTCGGCACAAGAAGTCGAAAAATGCATTCAGTGGGCATCACCTCCAACAGGATGGTGCGGCCACGGCGCCAGCTGAACCTGTCCCGACGAGCCATGAGATCCAGGCATCTCTGACCGTCCCGGAAACGAAGATGTCGGCAGAAGTTACGACGCAAAGCTTTAATCTCTCCCAGAATCTTTGGAATCAGGCTTTCGACCAACTGGCGAAAGACGAAGAATCTCTCGTTGAGGCCTATTTGAAGATCTTGGCCAAGTTACTCTTGGACAATACGCTTGAAGATGCCACTGCCAAGGAAAGCAAAGAGTATTTGACCCAGCTTTTAGGCAGACATGAGGTTTCCAAAAGAGGAGACAGCTCAGTTCCTAGACTCTCTCAAGCAGCAGTCAAAAATCTCAAAGCCGAACTTGGAGACCACACTCAACGACAAAAGTTCATGTCAATGCTAGTAGAAGATGGCAAAGCAAAAGCCCTCAAATCGCAGAAGATTGCGGAAACACTTGGGAATGTTGCGGGAACTCTTCTTTCGGTTAAACCAATCGTCGACGCTGTGCTTCAAATCCCTCAGACTGCACCTGCTGCGCTGCCTTGGGCTGGAATTTGTGTTGGACTAAACGTGAGCTATAATTCCGTTCTTAAACGTTTACATGCCTATCAATAATAGTGGGAGGCAAAAGCTCTCTTGACTCGGTTCCGCGCCAGACACTCGCACCCTGGGCAGTATGATATATCTATATGTGCTGAAAACGATGTATAAGTATGTTGTATTGTATACTCTGGAGAGTTACCCGTCAATACTCGAGAGATCAATTACCCTAATCACCCCGGAGCCTGCCTATCGTATTTACTGCGCTAGTCATCAGTCAGAACGAATCAATTTTGAATTGTATAAAATGTTAACTTCTGTTTCACTAGATTCTCTCTAGGCCAGCAGCCAAAGTCCAGGCTTACCGCGATGGACTCGCATATATAACGTCCAGAATGAACTGGTACGGCGCCATCAGTCATTATCTCCTGAGTCAAGAAGATAAAGAGAACGAGTCTCCCGCATTGGTGTCGCGAATACTGGAAGAAAGAGTCCGCACTATTTACCAGGCTGTTATTGTATTCCAGATGAAGGCCGTCCGATACTACCACGACAATGTTCTTGGCCAGATATTCACAGCTCAGGAATGGGACAAGCTTCGGCAGTCCGTCATAGACGCCGAAAATGCGTTTTCAAAAGATTGGGATACGTACAAGAAGGTGCAGGCAGAGCAGCTCTGGGGCAAACTCATGCAGAGCGCCAAAAACAGTGAGACACAGCTCCGAATGATGGGTGAGACTCTTGAGCAATTCCTGTCCCGACAGAAGAATATGGACGACGAGAGCAGGGACAGAGAATGTCTCCGAGCTCTATTCGTTTTGAACCCACAAGATCACATGCAGAACATCGAAAACAATAAAGAGAAACTATGCAGCGATGTATGCCAGTGGATATTCAAACACGACAAGTACGTTGCATTCACGGATTGGAACGAAGGCAACATGCCAACATGCCGTTTATTGCAAATAAAAGCTCCAGCAGGGATGGGGAAGACGATGCTGTTGATTAACATCATTCGCCAACACCTTCACCAGCCAGCCGCACTTACATCAAGCCTGGCGTACTTTTTCTGCCAAAGCGGAAAGTCAAATGCGAGAAGCGCGGCAGCAGTTGTAAGGTCGTTATTGTGGATGCTACTAATCCAGCAGCCACATCTCGTCAATGATTTGCGACGCGAGTTTGAAATCTGTGGTGAAGCGCTTTTGACAGACGGGCTTGGATGGGAACCTATATCTCGATTCTTCAAAACAACAATAAGCCGTGAAGATGTTAGACCGGTGTGTTTCTTAGTTGATGCGCTTGATGAATGTGAGGAGGGATTAGACAACTTGCTTCAACTTATTTCGGATTCAATTTCTTCGCCAAAGATCATGTGGTTAGTCTCAAGCCGCCCAGAAGTCAGCTTTGAGCCTTCACGGGAAAAACAACAACAACAAATATTACAGGTGCTGCATATTTCATGCCAGGCGGATCTGGCTGAGCGATACATCGAGCACAGGCTATCGAAGCTGTGTCAGTCTAAGCTTGGATGTGAGACCTTTTCAGGGAACATCCCACAGCTAGTGCGCCAGGAAATAAAAATGAGAAAGGAGACCAACCTACTATGGCTCTCATTTCTATTCCGAACCCTCGATCAAACTCCTGGTAAACAAGCTATCAACGAGATAAGACGGTTTCCACACAATCTGCGATCGTTGTATGATTAAACTTGAGAGAATCAAGAAGCTAGATCATGAGCGGAAACAAGCTTGTTTAGAGATTCTGATGGTTGTCTCGCTTGTATACAGTCTCCCGATTCACTTGGACACGCTTGCCATAGTTCTCGGCTACGATGAGAACCACAACTTATATAAATATGTCGAAGAATGCAATTCTTTCTTGGTACGAACTTACAGCCATGAACAAGGCGAACATGAAATCAACATCATCCACAACACCGCTAGAGAATGGCTAGAAGGGAACAGGGGGGAACTTCTCAGCGAGAAAATGCAAGGGCACGCAGATATTGCCAAAAACTCAGTCAAGGCCATGTCTCGGTTGAAAGCTATCGATATTGAGCGCTGGAACACTTTCGATATTGTGCGTTGGACGTCGGAAAGTAATGGTATTGACCCGCCTTTATGGTACGGAGTTCCTTATTCTATACAATATTCAGGCCTGTTCTGGCTCTACCACCTACGGGATGCAATGAAAACGAACCCCGAAAACGTCAAGGAGCTTTGTGATATTGGACTAGGCTTCTTGAGGGAGTACTCATCTCAGTGGCTGTTCTGGCTTCAACTTCTTTCCCGGACTCTCTGGGTTACGGGCTTTCGGAATGTAACGCAGTTTCCGCTTGGAAAAGCACTTGATTCAATGGATAAGTTCCTAAAGGTTTTACAAGTGAGTTTGTAGTAGCAGACTATAAGAACTTGAAGAATCTTGCTAATGAATCATAGGCCTCTGAGCCGCACCTTGAGGTTCGCCGCTCCATAGAAGTTGTACAAATATACACAGCTGAATTTCAAGCTGAACTAAATACGCTCATACAAGAGTTTCTGATTGACGTATTTTTTTTGCTGGCAGGGAAGCGTTTTGAATTTGAGGAAAGAACAGCCCCAGAACTTGCACTTCCACCAGAGAGTAGCGTGTCTGCCGCAATCCGAAGCAGAATAGACATAACATTCCTAGAAGCAGTACGTCTTCAAGACCCGAATTATCGTAGGATAGCCAGCCTGGCGAAAACGTGCGGGCCGGCATGATACAACATGCCTACACTCACTCTCAATAGTATACCTCGGGATATTGGTGGGTGATTCGAGTTCCTTCTTTCAACCCCGCGTTTTATGGTAGCAAGCATTGACTATCAGACTGGAGGTGATGGAGACTACATGTTATTATCATTTTTCTTTAATTCATTTTCAATTTGTTCTAGTTTTTTAACCTATCCAAATGATCGTGCAAGCACTACATCATGCAAGGCCCAGTGACAACCACATGTTATTTTACTGCTGGTTGGGATCAAAGATTCCTGTATAGAAAGAAGAATACAGCGTCTGTCCAATTGAACATTGGGACTTGTGTATATTCAGATCTAAGTGAGGAAACCTGGCGGAACTCTATGGGAATCTGCGGTCATGCTTTTGCACTTGAGCCAGGCCAGGTCACGGTCACTCGATCTACTCGACTCGCTACGTATTTATCCCGAGACAATAACTCCAACGGAACTTTCCAATACTCTCAAGCTATGCGGAAAAGCTACCAAGTAGACAATTCACCTGGTATATTGTTAGATATTGCAATTACATGTACGGAGGCGTAGAGTAATACGCCCTGCCAATTGTGCGTAGGAAGCCCCCTTACAACTACGACTCCCTGTCGCAACTAGTAGGCTAACAAGGTATGAGATGGCACATTTGCCGCAACTCACGAATGCGAGCTCGCCCTTTTGCGGCGGTTAATGCATGGCATTCTTTAACCAAGTCCGTCCCCTAGGACGGATAACAGACCCCTTGGCTGCTGTGCAAGGAACATTCTCGAGGACAGCACTTCAATGACCATCCAAATCTTCAGGGCATCATATACATTCAACCATTAACAAGACTACAGATCCTTCTCTCAAAAGCGGCCCCAACGTCACTCGGTATCCTCAGCCGGCGCAGGCTCTTCGTCTACATTCAAATGGGCATAAGTCTCCACCAGATTCTTCAGAATATGCGAATTCACATCCTCCTTCTTTTTGACCACACTAACAGGCCAATGGCTCCGCACAGCCTGTGCCATATGCCTTCTCTCATCTTCTTCGTCCTCATCCAGCCTCACTGTGGTTTTCAACAAGGAAAGCTCTTCCTGCCGCATCCGTCCGCGAATGACCCGAAACAAAGCCTCGGCCAAATAATGGTTGCGGCGCTGGTTATAGAGCCCCTTTGCAACAAGAATCAAAGTCGATCGCAGGGCTTCAAGTCGAGGTCCGGCTGCTTGCTCTCCAATAGCGTCGATGCACTCGTACCCTGCAAGTATGAGTGGTATGACGATGAAGAGGTCCATGGCCTCAAAACCATGGCGGAGATAGTAGAGTCGGACAAGGGTCTGGAGGTGTTTTCTGGCGTCGTCGACAATCTGTTGCGGCGTTGGTTCTACTTCTGTTGCTACATCAAGTAGCGGCTCATAGATGGTGAGTATGAGGTGATGATAGTACATGCTGTCATCGTTGCATGTTAGCCCAACCTCGTCTTTTCATGACGTAAATATGCGACGTTTCATCGTTTCGAAATGTATTTTAAATGATATTTTGGGGATTAGTTTTGGATTTGGGTTTGGACAGGGCTTACTGAAGTTGTAGGTGCCCAGGCAAAACGATTCTCTTTGGTTGGAGTGGTGCCGGTAGGTCCTCGTACCAGCATCTCAGTCGCGCAAGAAACTCGTTGGCTTTCTCGACGGTTACCTGCGAGCCTTCCGAAAAGGCTGCTTGACAATATGCGTTCATGATAATGCGAAACTCGCTTCTCGCCTTGAAGACTGGACCAAAGTAGGATGGCGAGAGGTTACGGGTCAACGGATACTTGACCCAGACCTCACCGTAAAATCCCGTTTCTTTTGAAGGATCTGGCAGTGGCCAGTCAGGGGGCGTTTTCAGAAGCGGAGGAAACAGAAATGAAAATCCAACAAGCCTGAATCAAATCAGCCGGTGAACCATATCGTAGACCATTGGCACTTACGTTTCCCAATTAAACAAGGCCCATGCGGCGAATGCCCTGCCATTCCTCATTCTTTGATTGTGCATATACATGCTGCTGTCAAATAGGCGAAGCTGGTGAGCCAACGCGATGGCCTGGATTCTATAGGCTTGTCCTATCTCGTCTAACCCGCAAAGGTTATGGAAGACATTGAAGAGTATACCGGCCTGTACAGTGGTGATGCGTGCTTCGGTAGCTTCCAACTCCCATAGACGTTTCGCCTCAGCCAGAAAGCGATAAACGAGCGTATTGGGATTCCAGTACTCGGCGCGATTCGAGAACCGCGGGTAGCAGACCTGTGATCCGGTGAGACAGGACCCATTTGTAGAAGGAAGTTCGAGAGCATCATACGCAAGAGTACGCAAGCATAATGTTGACGAGTAGAGCTGAGCAAAAGTCCTGTCGTCTTGCGGCCAAGTCTTGTAGAAATAAGTCCTTTTGAAATGCGGCAGCGAAGTGGTATTCGCAGCGAAAGAAGACGCCAAGCAAGTCTCTCATGAGAACGTCGTCCTGGCAAACCGCGGTCCACCACGATATTTTCGCCTTGGAGAGCTGGGGCTCGATAACCTCAGACGCATGAAACGGCTTCAAATAGAGGCTCTCGTATGCGCCAGATGCTGAATTGGGAGCAGAGTTGGTGGTGGAGGATGCGGAAGGTGTCGAGTCCTGGCCTGTGGCATAGAGTGAGGTTGCCTCGAAGATGATGGAATCTAGATAAGGATTGTGTTGCACATAATCTTGGGGGATTTCCGATTTGTACGGGAATTCATATCGAAAGCGAGTCTCGGGCTCAACAGCCATTTGAACCAAGACATCCCCAGCCCGCACATGGTTGAGAATGGTGACGACATCAGTTCCATGCCTGATTCTGTTCAATATGTCGTGGGCCTCCTGGGTTGGCACCGTCTTCAAAAGCTCAAAGAGTTCTTCGTGCGCAGTTGCTTGGTACTGCAAGTGGCTGTAGGCTCTTTTGAGAGCCTGGGACTGTCTCTCCCCCGGTTGCGTGGTGTAATGGCATTCCATCCGTCGTTGGACACACCGACGACATGCTGGCCGTTCGGCGGAGCACTGTCAGAAACGCAAAACCGTCATCATCCACCGCGCAGGCACCAGAAGTCATCCCCTGGAATTGGCCCACATACCTTGGTCTTGTGCTTACGACACTCTGTGCACGCGGCGGCGGCAGAATGAAGCCTCGAAGGCAGCGTTGGCCTTGGTGCCGGTGCCGGTCGGGTGCCCGTTGAGGGGAGCAGGGGGCGCAACCGCCGTGCCTTGTTAGCTACGGCGTGCTCGGGCATTTCTCTTCCGTCAAACTGGTCATCCTGCCTTTAGAATTGGGGGCAGGGGGAAAGTTCTGATGCCTCGAAGACTCGAAGACTTGGATAATGATTGCTGAGGGGCGTCAGGGTGGGGAGATGCTGCGGTCGCTGGTGAAGGGCCAAGGCGCCCCCGGACGCGTACCAGTGACGTCCGGTGTGTATTGTTCACTTACGTCTGTATGTATGTACTATGTACGTGCATAAGGTAGGCATAGTGGCGAGACATGAGCCTTGGCCCTTGACTTTGGTAAGTAGATAGCCCCCATCATTCACCACCAAAAAAGCAACATTGAACTGGCCAACTTGTCCAATCTGCTTTAATCTACTCCCATCATCGCCCGTCGAGTCTGTCTCAACATTTGAGTGAGCCAGAGTCTCTTCGAGAACATCGGCACACGCAGTACCGTCAACTCGGCTTCTCACCACCGCCGGCAATCAACTCTTCGATCCATTTCGTTCCCGAGAACGGCATTCGAGCTTCTTCAACACTCGAGGTCGTCACAGTTATCATGTAACACATACGATGTGGTGTAGGGTTGTATAGCACACGGAAGCCAATTCGACAAGATCAGGCATACATGCTGGGTGCTTGAAAGACGATCGATATATCAGCGGTGCCGAAACTGAACAAAGGAACATGATTGATCTTGATAGCGTACCCAATAATTGTCTTTCCAACTGCTTTACACCCACTTGCCGCCTCTTCAAGCACATTCCGTAGCCGCAAACACAGAGCCAAATATTTATTCAACTACGGTAAAAGTGGCAAGCTGTCAACAGTGTCTGCAATAGAAATACGGACTTCAACTCAACTTGTCTATCCTTTAAAAAACGCAGAAGGCAAAGGGACTCAACAAAACGCTAGTGAAGCAGGCCATGTGAAAGGTGACAAACACACGGCGTAAAACATGGAAATGAGAGGCGCAGCTAGCCAGCATGAATAGCTCTGCTCTGCCCTACCTTCTTTAGTGCCCATGGGTATTAGTATAAGAGCCAAATAGTAGCAGCACTCAAATAGTATACCCTTTCACTGTGGTGGCTATCAATATTGTCCAGTATGTAAGTGTAAACTTGTTGATAAGTATATTCTGTCATAGCTTGTTGTGTATTTTCATCGAGTCACCCTTCTGACAAATTCTGCCATCAGCTTCTAGTAACTAGTGATTGTGCCAAAGTCACCAGGGGTATAGTAACGAGGTCAACACCGCAGCTTCTTGGCTGCCGCCTCGACACGCACCGAGCAAAAGCGGCAATTCGGCCATACACATCTCTTGGATAATAAGCCCACTACTGATCGTCAGGCTCCGCAATTCCATGCTGATCACCAAAGCCTATATCAAATAGCCTTGGCTGGAAACCCGGGAAATGCCGCCATCATGGTCTGGTTGTTCCCCCTCAAACTGACACCACTCGTGTAAACGCAAGCGCCAGGCGGTCTGCAAATCCAGAAATTGAACTCTTGGTATCCCAGCATTACGAGGCC